AATTTAAATTCATGTAATTATGTTGTCTTAACGTCGCAGATGAAAAGGCCAAAAGACGTATTTTCCTCGGGAGCTAAATAGCATTTTACCGGCATTTTTTATTTTGTTTTAGTTTGCAACGCTTCACTAATTTTTAAAAAGCCACTTGTGTACACAGACAACGCGTGTATTCCTTTTACATCGAAGAAAAACACTGTTATAGCAGAATGAAAACGTCGCTTATCCGTATTTTAATCTTTATCAAACACTTGGTGAACTTTGTTCACAAAACCAAGCGTGCGCATTTATCCAGACAAACAGTAGCCTACCTAGAATTTAAAGTTTGTTTTCCCCCATTATTTTCCAGAGTGTGTCTAGAGATTGTTCTTATATTCTTGGTAAAACATTTCCTTTGCAACTAATGCTTTTTAGTTTCAGTGGGCTGTAAATTGTGTTGTTTTTGAGTTTTCAGTTTAGTGTCTTTGGGCTGGACATGACTCGCACTTAATGGAAGAAGAAAAGTAAGTACAAACGTTTTATTCATTTCATTACACCTATCATATCGAGATATATTCTATGCTCTCTGCCCTGGTGAAAATGTATTTTTCTACTAAGTAGACTTTAATCGTAGTTTCAAGTATCGTTAAATGATCTGAATACTTGTGTTCTTGTGTTTCCAGTTTGGTGTCTTCGGGCAGGACATGCTTGGCTCAGCTGCTGAAATTATCTATGTAAGTATAACCCTTTTTATTCGTTCACACGTATCGTACTGAAGTACACTACAGTTGTTGTCAGAAGAAGACTCAAACTAGGCGACACGAGATTTCACCGGGACAGAAATGGTTTTGCCCCGACAACACTGTAGGCCTGCTATTTTTAGCAATCCTTTTCTGCTAAAACTGCGATCACTGTCGCTTTTTTTAATGCGCATAATACAGATTCATTAGAAGCCGTTTATAGTACCTGCTTCTATACCTTGTTGAACAGGAACACTCTGTCGCACCACGCTAATCGCTTTATTGCTACTGTATCTTTTGGACGTGTGAATCAGTTCGGAAACTCGATCGAACTAGCTAGGATAATTTCGACATCCTGTTTGTAACCGAAAGCTAATACTGATTTCTGTTGTTTTACAGGAATTGCAACGAATTTCCAGTCTTCTTTCCGGTCGCTGCCTCGACTGAAACCTCGGAGAAAAAGTAACGTGCTGTATGTTTCTGTTTTAACATGTAGTTGCTTGCAAATGTTTTCTTA